ACAATTTTTATATCTTTTAGAGGAAGTATGGCTTATGGCACCATTGGTATCTAAAATAGTTTCGTTTAGAAACAATTTTTGAAAATTATCTGAGAGTTTATTTAACCTTTATGCTAAAAATTCAGTTTTTTAAATGAGTCTATATTCTCATCATTTCTCAAGCATTTCCCCCATCCCAGCAAGAATTCAAAAAAGAGTTAAAATTAACAAACTATGACCAGATATCAGGGATGTCAATTACTCTAGGATCAAGTATTTCCCTCCCAGCAACAACTTCTCTTTCTCTGTGGCGAACCAGACGAATGATGCACTGGATGAATGTTCGTTTAGACGATGCACAGGAGAGCAAATGAGACTTCTTATCTTTGTTATTGTTGCCATAAATACTTCGTCTGCCTATTTCATTAAATGGAAACGCAAGCTTCAGTTGACCACAGGCGGGAGACAACATACCTTCCCAATCAAGAGATTTCAGATTAAGAGTACTCCTATTTTGTTCAGATGAAAATGGTGTGTTTGTGTCGCTCTTCTTTAAATATTGACACGTTGGCTGGATAAATCTAGATTCAGCTGGCTTGCACACATTTTCTGACGGATTATTCACTTGTTCCGTTCTTAGCTCACAATTAACTCGAACTATATGCTTGTTTTTCAATTCATTGTTGCGTAGCTCATTATGCAGGATATCTTTTTTGATTGTCTTGTTCAGGTTCACTGTAGATACCTTGATCGGCATGTTCGCACTTTGGTGATTGGATCTTAAGGCTGAAAGTTTACTGTGCATTGGACTGATAATACAGGAATCTGCAATTCTACGGTCCAAACTTCCAGGAGTAAAGAGACTCTGTCGACTTCCTTCCAACACCCAATGGCTGCTCCTCGGGATAAGCGCAATATCCTTTCGGAAAGTAGTAAGATATGATAACGACAGGTGGTAGTGATTCTGGATCATAAAAGAAAATAAAGTGTGAACGGAAAGCAAAAGTTGTTTTTAAATCGATTTAGCTTTTTCTTAGCAGGATCTGATTTAGTTTTTATACAAACTTTTGGCTTAAAATTGATATGATATTAGAAATGGGTTTCTTTCAATTGACCTCGGTGATAATTAGAAGTTCACAAGGCATTATATGGGAATGTATGATATGTACAAATCTACTAGTCAAAGATCAGTCTCCTTAACAGAAGATTGCAGCTAAAGTATAAATGTTTGATAAAGCAAGATAGATACGCTATATTAGTATCTTCATTAACCTCATGTTAACTTATCCCGACACAGCTAATCACTGCATTGTGAAGACAGAAAATTTTGTCAACGAATTCACATGTCGTCAGCGGCATACTTCGCTTCCGTGTCAGCTTCTACCTGCTCACAAACAATAGCTAAACTTTTATCTTTGACTCATCCTCTTATTTAGTCAGTATCCAGTGCCGATATTATAATCCTGCCTTCATAATACTTGCTTTCTCTGTTTTATTAATCAGTTGGACCG